GTTGGATAGTCTGCCGGTAAAAAATTCTTCTTCTGAAAACGTTAAAGGCGATCGATAAAAATGAAACAATTTCTATAAATCTCTTAGATGCAGTCAATTTCATTCATAGAGCTTGGCAAAAAGTTAGACGAAAAACCATTGCAAATTGCTTTAAGCATGGGGGATTTGTAAGAAAAGAAAATGATTATGAACCAGACGATAAAATTCCACTTAACGAATGGTTAGAAAAGTATAAAGACTCTGACTACGAGTATGACACAGACGAAGATGTCCCAATGTTGTCGAAGAATAAGTTAAAACCAAATTGAGTGATTTCCATTTCTTCGAATATGTGAGCATTGATAATGGCATTCTTACAAGAGAAATGTTGACCGATGAGCAAATTATAGACTCCGTAACCTCATCTACAGCGTTAAGCGATAATGAGAAAGATAACGATTTAGGTGAAACGTATTCTACTGTAGACACTAATGCTGTTCCAACCATTTCTGAAATGACAAAAAATGTGTCAGAAACTCGGAATTTTCTACAATCACGCCAAGTTCCTAATCATATCTGGGAGTCCTTTTGTGATATTGAAAACTACATAAATAACATCTATTTTTGCTAACCTACTAACTTCTACTACTCTATGTAAAAATAACCCAATATAACTACACCACGTGTTTTTGTATTATTATTCGCTTATAGCGAACTCCGGATATAACGAACCAGTTTTAGTTCATTTTTCAAGTTATATCTGGACTCAACTGTATTTTCATTTGGGGCTTCCATGAATGAAAAGAAGTTGCAGGTAAGATTGGTTCATTTTTGATACTAATTTAATTAGTTAAAAATATATAATAAATTGGAACTTATCCTTACTAACACATTAGTAACCACTATAATGCAGATTAATGTGTCCGTTCATCGTACATTTAACACTCGCTGCTTTCATCGGTGTAACCAAATGCCGTGAGATTTACAACATGAGAAGCGAGATAATCACTCCCCATAATCAGAACATCAAAAGATTATTTCACGGGTTCGCATCAAAACAGGCATATCGGATTCAGGATTTAGTGGCACGTGACCACGCTTTAGTGATCAGATTCGATGAGCTGAAGTGTTTCGCTCTTGTTTGCAGTCAATCAGATGGGCATTCGATTGGAAAATGCTTGTGGAAACCCAGATGGGCCCAGAATGCGAAACGTTCTGAAAATGTCTAATTTGCCAATGGGAAAAATTCTGAGCAGCCTTAATAATAAACAAGTCGGAATTTTCCACATATGCACAGAACTTTGTGGAAATGAAAAGAGATTAAAACCGTGTTTTGCAGGTCATAAAGCGAAAATTCTCGTCACTATTTCTCCCGCAAAACGGGCTGCGTGGTTGGCTCCCCATATGCGAGCCGGGTAATTCTGATGAATGTTTTTGATTTTCTTTCTGGCCGCCCTTTATTAATATTTACTCGAGTACTAATTGGACCAGATATTGCGAGAAATACGGACTCATTTAACGTGTGCAGGTGGAATGGCGTTTTTGACTGCTTTATAGCTGCAATATTTTGTGCAAACGTGTCGATTATTGTGCTATTGCCTAATCAACAACGATTTTAATTTATGAACTGCACCAGCATGTGATTCTGCACCAACATTTGTCCATGGTGATTGGCCATTAATCTCATTGAAACACGTTAGAAAATTATGAGTCTTTATCCAGAAAATGTTTTGGATATTTCTTGGCATTTAATTGGAAAAAGCCAAATTAGTGTACTAGAAAGTCCAAAGAGATGTTGACTTTCACAAAGCAATCAATATAATTTTAGGAGGTTTTTCAAATGTCCCAATCCTTTTTTGCAACCCCAAATTAAAAAAAAACATTAATTACAATTTAGTGGGTGCATTAAGATTTTATTTAATGCTCAAAATCAAAACACAACTGAATAAACGGCACAATAAAAATCTAATAAAGTTGAAACTGTTATTGGGTGTTTTTCGGAAATTTACTTCACCGTGTAATGCAAACTGAGTCATTTCATATTCATTGAAACTCCAATAAACTTTAACTAGAAAACTTGAGTGAACGTCGTCAATTTTATTGAAAGCCACGCCAACGAAGACGTTCATGATTTTAGTGTTCAGAAAGTTTTGATTTCCTCAGAAGCAATCAGGAAAGAGTTAACAATCTCTTCATCTCTTGTTGAAAAATGTACATTAACTTCCAGCCTATGATCGATGTAGAAGTGTGCATATTTCCCACACATGAGACGTCCTCAAGAGAGATTCGCCGTTAAATGATGCATAATAGATACCCACTTGGATCGAATCGGCCCTCGCCGAAGGGGTGGAGTCCGAATGTGTCCTCGGGGATTAGGGCGCAATGTCAAACGATGTAATTGCTTAATTGTAAGATCAGAATTCAAACGTAGCGGATGGATTCTTTATGGATGTCTTGGGACGTTGATAGGGGCGTGGGAAAAAAAATTTCGGTACACCAAAACAGTACATAAACTAACTAAGCTTTTAGATTAGTAGAAAATCAGTTATTTCATTTGTATGTAAGCGGTGGAATATTCAAAAGCAGTATTTTCTTAGGTCCATTGCCGCTATAGCTTAAAGTGAAAAAATTTACATCAATCCATAAGGAAAATTTTTATTTCTGAAGTTTCTTTTTTGCTAAAAATCAGTCAATCGCACTCAAAATATCTAAAACAGTATATGAACACAAAAACATAAGTACTTTTAACTGAAATATCTCAAATTAACGGCAAATAACACTGAACAATAGACACAGAATAATTATGTTATTTAATGGAACCCATCGGTAATTTTCTTAAGATTTTTGGAAAAATATTTTTCGCTCTCTCATTGTTCGTGTTTTAGTAGACATTTTTCTAAGAGGTATTGTTTTATATGAATTGTTGCTAAGCTTTGCTTCGAATAATTTTGGTGATTAGAATGACCTGCGAAGTGACAGGATTTAACGCTTCGGGATTTTCAGTGTGTGCCTAATTATCATATATAAAATGCGTGCAAAATTGTGTTCTTTTGCGATTGATGAAAATTCTTGTTTCACATATTTTTTACTTCATCGCCAAGTTCTTTGAGTCCAAGTGATGAACGGATGTCTGCACAATTTTAAATTAAAACTGTGTTTTGCAACTTTCAAAAAATAACAAAGTTCGAATTGTGAATATTTCATAAATAGGCAATTTTGTCAGTGGTTTGTTTCAATTTTCTCTAGTTTTCCATAAAGTATTTTACCTCAGCTATCATTAGTTTTAAGACAAGATTTTCTTAGAAAATTAAACTTTAATTTTGGCTCTTTGGCGTTTTGTAAGTACTTTATTTAGATCATTTTAGAACTAAGATGTACCTTTAAAGAAGAAATTATTTGGAGTAAAGTCTAAGTCATCTGAACTTAAAATTTTATAACGTAATTCTCATTTCAGTTGTATGGCTTTAATTTCCCTGTTTCCTCTCCTTCAAAATGCATGCATTTTCGAAAATTTTCAGAAACTAGAATGGGCAAAAACTGAAATGAAATTTTAATGTTATATTGAATTCTTACAGCCTAACAAAATCAAGGTATTGAGGTGTTTTTTTAAACATTCAAAACAATCATGGAAATAAACATAATTCTAAGAAAAATCAAAAGGAAAAGTGGCAACAAAATGAAACTCAGCAGAGTATTTATAAAATTGAAAGTTCCATGAATTTGTTCAGGTTTGAATAAAATTAATTTTAAAAATATTCTTGTCTTATGTATGTTTTAAATGCTACGGGACGTTTTGAGAAAAAAATATGACCAAATGTCTGCAACTTTATAAAATAATAAAATTTTGTTAAACTATCTGTAGGCAGGCTCCACCTTGATGAAAAGAACTTCAGAAAAACTAAAAATAATTTCATGAATGTACTTACAAGGCGTAAATATTGTTGATAATAAACCGCCCATTTACTGTTGTTTTTTAAATTGTCCTGTGCTCCTTAAATACTTTTCCTTCAGTTGTCCATACTTTATATGCTAAGGTTTCATAGAAACTTAATTTGTAATTTGGCTTTTTAGGGATTTGTAAATAGAATATTCAGTTCGTTTTTGGACAAAGGTGAACCTTTAAGAAACAAATAATTTGGAGTGCAGTCGGAGGATTTTGGTGGTCATCTGAACTGAAAATTGGACCATGCAACTTTCATTTTGTTTTAAAATTACTTTCATTTCAAATGATGAATAATTTTAAATAATTGATTTGCAATCTTTTACTTTAAGATTTCTAGGAAAAATTGAGGCAAAGAATGAATTGAATCACAGCAAATAAATTTTTTGATGACTTTTCCAATTGACTATGTTTTACATGTTTCTCGATTTGATTTGATTGAGAAGACTATTTTCGTGTTGGTTTTATTTCCCTGTTTCCTTTTTATTCAACTGCACATGTTTTCGAAACTTTCCGGAAATTAGAATGGGCAAAAATCAAAACAAAATTTTAAAAGAAAACACTTATGTTATGTTGGATTCCTTACAGCCTACGAAAAGTAACGTATTGGAGTGTTTTTTTTTGTATAATCATGGAAATAAGTATAATTAAAAATTAATAATAATAAGAAAAAACCCTTGTAAAAGTTAGTCAGAGGGATTATCCACTATCACAAAGAAAAGTTCAAACTGAAAGAAAATACGCAGACATTTTAACGAAAATATATTCGAGGCATTTAATACAGGTTGGTATAATTTTTAAATAAAGCTTGCACTGTTGCAAGAAAAATTATATTGGTTTAATGAACTTTTGAGGGTAGAATTGTATCCAATTCACGAGAAAATGAGCATTCGACTAAATGAATGTATTTGGAAAATGGTTGCAAATGTAAAAATCAAATTCACGCTGAATCAAAGATCGTTGAATGTTTAAAAAGAATTATTTTTATGCACCGTTTCGTTGCGATACTTTCGAAATACATTTGAAATCTAGTGGGTCAAAAGAGCCCAAATTAATAAACTAGAACAAAACAACAATTACGGGAAAATTGAAGTGTCATTAACCGGTCACAATAAAGCCTTAAATTCAAATTAAATTAACGTTAAATTAAGTTCGCAACGAATTACCGGCCTAAAATATTCACAACGTTGACGTTTCGCAGTGAAATTCAAATGGCGTAAATAATTGAGCCAAGCCACAATTTCATAAATGACATATTTCATGTTGATCATTTTTCTGGCAATTATTCATGTACCCTCACTGAACCGTCAGTCCCGCATGTGAATTAAATATTTTCCCGCTTAGTTTTCCACGTCATTTTTGATGCCGCATTAATTTTCTCCTTTATTTTGTTTCCGGGTTTCAAGTCGCTGTTCAATTTTTCGTTTTCATTCAAGTTTTGTTCCATTCAGTAATCTCTAATGAAAATTGATAGGCAATAACCTATTGAAACAAAAAGGCTGAAGTGGAAAGGACAGAACATCCAGTAATGGCTGAACCACTATAAACCCCTAAAGTTAAAGAAAACGGCTGCGCATTTGGCTAATGGTAATAACGGTCCAAACCGAACTAAAAACATATTAAGTTAATTAGGTTTAATCAGGAGAATTGCATCGAAGACCACCAGAAAACAATTATGGCGAAGCGAACAAAAGAACAGTGAGAGGGACAGTAAAGTCATTAGAGTAAGTGTCCGAACAGATGTGTCGTAGTATTGCCATAAAGTCACAAGTCTGGTACTTTCCAGTAGAATTCTATTGGAAATGGAAGCAAAATTCTACTTCAGTTCTATTTGGTGCCAAATAATCCATAAACTGGGGTAATAAACATGTTTAACAGCTTTTTTACTCTTTCTTGAATGGACATCCGAAAGAGAGCAAGTTGCGACGAGTTGCAACTAGTTTGGTTCAGACCGAATCTGCTGTTGTTGAAGCAAATAATACAAAATATTAAAAAATACGTGCAAAATGGTGTGCACAAACTAAATAAAATAAATTATTAGAACGGAATTACTTTGGAAGACAATATACGCGGTATTGCTCGATTTACTAATTGAAAATATAAAATTTTCACGTTTTTTAAATGTTCAAAAATTCAGTCAGTTGATAGCAGAAGAGTTTCAACCAGTGACGGAGCAATTTATTTTGTGTTAATTTTATCTATAAAACTGGTAAACAACCTTTGGCTTTTGATAAGCATTGTGGCAAAACGGCTTCTTTATCTTGTAATAATTCATGTACATTTTTACATCTTTCCTCCAAATGAAATTAAAATGTTTAAAAGATAGTGCAAATGCCTTATAAAATTACTCATAATGGAAACATAGACTCTATATTGAGATCAATATCGTTTTTGAAATTCAAGAGTTCTTAACAGTTTCAAACTCTTTCTGACTTTTTTACATATCCATAAAATATTTCTCTGTCCTGAAATCAGCCTGTATTATCATGTCATTTTCGTTGTTTTTCCTCATTCAGTATTTTTTTCTTTTGTCGTTGAATTGCTTGTGTGACTAGAAAATTTGATTGGTTAATTTTGCTGAAAATCTTTTCGAGTCGGTACTGCGAGGGGATCTAAAATTATTGTTCCCTTTTACCATAAGCATTAACAAATAGTTGCCAACGTTTGCGTTAAGGAGGAGGAGGATATAATATTGTTGCTGCTAAATAAAGGTTTATTTATTGCAGAGCTTCTGTAATAAAATAATGTGAAAGATGATGATAAGTTGTAAATATTATTTAATTAACTTTTCTTATGCTGACAATTTCTCCAGCAGACTAATGTTGATAAGAAAATATTTCTCATGGATCAATTTACACCGTCAGATAAATCGTGTGCATTCGGTTACTGTGATGCCTTATATCCAATAAAAAATAATTTATGAAATGGACAAGAATTTTAATAACAAAAACAATAATTAAAATAGGCAACATTTTCGAACAGTAGATTCGAATTTTCATGTAGTTTATTCAACGGATGCCAATTCGCCATTGCTGCCATATGATAACTTTGAATAAATAATTTGGATGAATAACGAAAATATTGGCAAGAAAGTTGCCTAAAAATCTGTAACACTAAGCTCACTGTGAAACGATTTATTCGTAAATTTAATGGAAACGGTTTATTTAGATTTAGATGCTTTTCCATATAGTTCAACTCATAAGATCTTTTAAACAGTTTTGACGTTCAATTAAGTTAATTTTTTCCTGAAAAATGAGTGTATTGAAACAAAATTGCAACACCAATCAATCACTTTGTTAACATCTAATTACCTACAATTAGAATTACCAGTCTGGTTTCCCATATGAAACTTGCACGTATCCCGAGAACTTCCGCAACTTCATAAAATATTCACAGTGCCTACTCAGGTGCGCTTATACTCCACTTACGTTCCGGCTTAAATTTAATTTAGCGACGGTATCAATATCCATAAAAGTGTTTCGCATCTTCCGTCACTTTCCTTTTTCAATCTGCAATTATTTATCGGAGAGAGAACAAACTAATGATGGATGGACCCGTCGCTAACAATCACAATTGTGTCACCTGCTTTTCCCTGCCATAATGGATTTCAGAGCCGCCAAACAAGTGTATTGGCGTTTTTAAGGGCGGTTTATGTTATGTTAGTGATAAGGGTGTCAGAAGCATTATTCCGCTGGATATTGCGATCTATTTTCCCCTTGTTGAAGAGTACAAGATAGGAAAAGGCTTGAAGCTTTAGAGGAAAAAAATTGATATGAAATTTTTACAAAATATAGACTTAACTACTAACTAATTAACGAAGGCGTTTTTGCAATGTAGAATTAATTATATCCACAAGAATATGGTCTATACAATGGTAACTGCAGATTTCTCAATTATCCGCCTGAAGCAATTGCGGAATTGTTGCCAATGTTTATGTCAAAACATGACCCGATTAAAACAAAACATTAGAAATCACTCACCTGAACTCTAGCTTCTGTGAGGTCAATTTTCATAGCGATTTCTTCTCTGGTGTAAATGTCTGGATAATGGGTTTCTTGAAACGCCCGTTCAAGTTCCTTCAGTTGGGCGGACGTAAAAGTGGTGCGGATTCTTCGTTGTTTCCTCTTCTCAGTTAAAACACCGTCGTGTCCTGGATATACTTTATATGGCAAACCACCTGGAACAACATCCAATTGGTTAACCGAAAATATATTATTTAATACAAAAAACAATATAAAATTACACTGTTGTGCAAACGTTTGCAGAAACAGAGTAGAATGGGGCATATATAAAACTGCCAGTTTCCTCTGAATGTCAAATAAAATCAAATCAATACAATCAATTATCAATATCTAAATTAAAAACGAAACATTCTTGAATTCTTTCTCATCTAATTTTTCAAAATCAATTTAAAAAATATTTTAGATCATATAGCAAATTTCTTATGCAAGCTCATACTTTGCCACCCTTATAACTACCCGTTAAGCGATGTTAACACCTGCGAAAATGTGTTGGGTATAGTTAACATGATGAAAACATACGTGGAACTGCTCTAGCTAATATTCTGTGGTTCCAGCGGTTTCGGGGGTAGTTAGAGGGCTTAAAGTTGTGGATTTCACAGTTCTATTTAGATTGTTATGGTTGATTAAGGGATGTGAATATTTTAAATTGATTGAGTTAAATTTCGCTCCCAAAGTCGGGTAATGTGGAGTATTAATGTTTTTCCAAAAGTGACTGTAAAAGGGTTTATCGCATTATCGCAGATTTAACGTAATTTTTGAGAAATTATAGACCATGGTCCTTCAGAATCCGTAAATATAATAGACTTTTTTTTACATTTTATTTGGGTATGACACATATTATTTTGGATTTTATTTGAAAATAGGAAAAAAAATTATTAAATAATTATTTAGTGCCTTAATACTTTAAAATGTTATATACGCTTGTTATAATATAAAATTACAGCAAATATCAAAACCAATTTTGAATGTTACATTATAATACATTTCAAACATTCATAATTTGTTGGTATATGACACACCGTCCATTTCATTGTGTTTAAAATTTCTTATTTCTTCCAGTAGACTGCGAAATCAATAGGCGAATTATCGCATTTAGAAGTTTTTGTTTCACACATGGCTATAAAATTAAATGAAAATTGTTAATTAATACAAGCAAAAAGATGTTTATTTACTAAAAATTTCGGAATCGCTCCAAAAAAAATTCGAGAGTTTTCGAAAATAAAATCTAGTGCAAATTTGGTCATTCACGTACCAAAATTGGTTATTCAATTCATTTCATGTTTTCTCCTCATAGTAAAACTTAAAGTTTTCCACAAAATCTTTATTGGTGCATTAGTCTTTATTCTCCTCAGACTGGTTATTTAATATGTAAAAGGACATTTCGCTAAGATTTATACGATCCGATATTGGATGCAAAGTATAAAGAAAAAGCCATAAAACGAGTCGCGCGGCGCCCATAAACTCTCTCTACATGTTGCGATAGTAAAATAACCATAAAAATTCGCGTGGCATCTACATCAATTCCGCTTTCTTCATTCGCATGACCGGCTTTATAGAAAATGGATAAACGCACATGGACAATTTACGAATTTTACGTTTTACAATGTAGCTCGAGAATTTTTCAATATTTTTGTGTGTTTGATCCTTTTTTTCTCAATTTAGTGTTAAATGTTTGTTATTTTGCTTATTTTGTTTTAGTACTTGTTAGGCAAAACCTTATGTGATCATACTCGTCTCATTAAAGCCTCGAAAACTTGACTAAAACCAATGAAAAGCTGACTCCATTGCAGCAGATTTTACTCAGTATAACTTTTTATGTTTTGTCCGGTAGCTTGAGCATTTCTCTGGGCGTGAAAATTGAAGATATTTCTTTAAATAATGCCCCAAATTTTGGCAGATTATTATCTGCAGTTTATGTCGTTTTTCTTTCAATCTTACGTAAAATGTTTGCTATTTTGCTAATTGTTTTATTATTGTAGCTATTGAACAATAAGTAAATCCGTAACTTTATGCTTAATTCGGAAGCAAAATCGTGCTTATTTTTGTGTGACCATAATCGTCTCATTAAAGCTTCAGAAACTTAACTAAAACTATTGGAAAGTTGACCCCATCATCAGGCAGTAGATTTTACTCAGTTCAAAAATCGTGAGAAAAAATTATAAAGTAAAATTGTGAACGGCTCTATCTAAATAAGTTTTCATGTAAAATTCATAAACTAGACTTTATACAATTTTCTACCCTAATTTCTACCTTGATGATTTCACGACCATAACAACATGCAAAAGTTACGAGCCAACACGAGGCGGGCATTTTTCGCTGCGTAAGAAAGCAGAGGGATCCTGGAAGCAGGAACGATCGATATAGGCGTTTCTTTGCTCTTGAATTGCTCCTGCTCTCAGCAAACTGCGTTTCTTGTGCCTCAGGTTGAACGACTCCATTTTGGATGTGCACGTACCGTATTAGGGGAAAATGTAGTTTGTGGTTTAGAGCTCAAGATGTCACAGTTTAGATGGGAAATCAATTATTAGGAATTCATATGGCAAAGTTGCGTAATGTTCATGCGAGAAATGTACAAGCTATCCGATAAATATATATACAGGGTTGCTCATTAGTGCGTCAAAGTGCGATATCTCAGTAAATATAAACTTTACAAGAAAATACGTCCTATGAAAGTTTTTCATGTTTAAAAGGTCCACATTTTAAAATTACTTTCCAATATACGGGGTGTATCATAAACGTGTGGTAG